CTAGAAAATAAGAAGGTTAAACTTCAAGTGTCTTGTTTTCAGTGTCTTTTTATAGAAAATGTTGCCTTAACTGTACTGCGACGTACTGTCAAACAAATGGATATGATTTGTTGAAAAATAAAAAAGTTACTTTCACTGTCTGATATATTTAGAAAAAAAAATTAAGAGGTTTTGTTTGATATAGGTACAAACATTTAGTGAAGCCTGAAAGGAGGGGGGGGGCTAAAACGGAATCTCTCTCTCTCTCTCTCTCTCTCTCTCTCTCTCTCTCATTTGTCTGTTTAATAAAAACTATAACAGCATATTACTTAAATATCAAGTTCTGAAAATTGAACTTATAACAAATAATATGAATATGTATCTTTGTATTATCTTGTCCGAGTATAACCACGTCCATCTACATATACATGTAGAAGTCTGCTCAATAAATCATCATGAAAAATAGAAATGACACATAATATATTATTGTATTAAAAATTTAAAATACGAGCGTATAAATGCAAAACGTCCACTGACCTTTGTAATTATTTTTTTTTCCATTACTTTACACGAAATCGCCCTGACACGGAGATATATGAATGGATGTTACAACCGCTTTAATTCATTCTATAAGTCAGAAGTTTTCTCTGATTTGTTTATACTTCAGCGTTCGGCAACAATTGCAATGTTTTAATGCAATAAAAATCGTGTGATTAAAAACTTAATGTGCATGCATCGTCTTTCTTAGGAACAATTTTGGAGAATTTATTTTATTGACTTATTTATTCATTCAATTATTGGTTTACTTATTTATTTATTTATTTTGCACTGACATTATAAAACAATAAAATAGTTTCAATGCAAGGAAAAGATCAGAGGCATTCCGAATATATCGTTCATCTTGCGTTCACCGTTCGTTCACCTTTCACTTTGCGTTCGCGTTTGCGCTCCGTTCGCGTTCTGCGTTCGCTCACCGTTCAGCGTTCACACATCGTTCACCAAGTTGCGTTCAGCGTTCACACATTGTTCACTCACCGTTCGCTCTGCGTTCGTTCACCGTTCGTTCAGCGTTCGCTCACCTTTCAAGTGGGAAAGTAGAACGTTTCAGGGACTGTATATACTTACTGTCCAGACCATCCAGAAGAATGTCCTGAAACTTGTTCATGTATGTTTCATCTAGATGAACTCCAAACACTTTATTCTAAAAACAATTGAGTGGATTGTCCATTACATGCATGTGTGCCTTCAATTCTTGATGTCTGCTCATCATAACAATGAATTCCAATAAATTAATACTTTCAAAATATTTTTTTTTGTAATTAATAAAAACATAAAAAGGTAAATGCTGCTTCTTTATTACAATGCTTTAATCAATAATTAGTCCTTCAAATGCAGATGTTGAATAACATGAATAAACTGAAAAAGGGACACAAACCATATCAGTGATGTGCCCATTTACAATTTAAATGATCTCTGCTTTTTGACCTTTATTATGTGAGTGTTTTGACCTTGACCTTTTTAGCTCACCTGAGCCAAAGGCTCAAGTTAGCTTTTCTGATTGAAATTTGTCCATTGTCTGTCGTAGTAGTCGTTGTCATAGTCGTCGTTGTCGTAAACTTTTCACATTTTCATCTTCTTCTTAAGAACCACTGGGCCAATTTCAACCAAACTTGCCACAAAGTATCCTTGGGTAAAGGGGATTCAAGTTTGTTCAAATGAAGGGCCACGCCTTCTTCCAAGGAGAGATAATTATGAATTCATGAAAAATTAATGGCATCATTTAAAAATCTTCTTCTCAAAAACCACTGTGCTTGAAAATATGAAACTTATATGGAAGCATCCTCGGGTAGTGTAGATTCAAGTTTGTTCAAATCATGACCCCCAGGGGTAGGGTGGGGCACAATGGTTGATCAAAGTTTTACATAGGAATATACAGGGAACATCTTTAAAAATCTTCTTCTCAAGAACAGCAAAGCCATGATTAGTCATATTTAAATGGAAGCATCATTAGTTAATGTAGATTCAAATTTGTACAAATCATGATCCCCCCCCCCCCCGAACCAGTTTTATATTTAAACTTTTCAAGACTGAACTGATTTCTGCGTTTTCCTAGCCAGTGTGCTCAGGTGAGCGATGTGGCCCCTGGGCCTCTTGTATTTATTGTGCTAAAATACTGTTCATAGTTACTTACATGAGGCCAACTTTAAAATAATGTATGCTTGCCCTCTCCCGACTCAGGATGAGAAAATTGAGTCGGTAGGTAGGTGAGAAATTTTTTTTTCAAAGAAAATTTCAAAATCAATGCTGAATTTTCAAAATCTATTTTCCGGAATTCATAAAAAAAATAATTGCTTCCTGGAGGTTAAAAAAAAGTTTTGAGTCAGGCCATTTTTAGCCAGTCAGTTTGGAGAGGGTAAGCAAACAATTTGTTAAAGATGGCCTGATGTATTAATTTTGCACTTGTATGAATTTTTGCTTTATTTTCTTTTAGCACATAAATTTAGGAGTTTGAACAAAATGGGTCTCCTATGAGGGATGTACATGTAAATAATAAAACTGTCTAATAACTTTAAAGAAACATCTACATGTAAAAGAAATTATGAAAGATGATTCTTTTCTTGTTTAAGTAAACAGAAGTCTCAAGGGTTGTATGTCGGGTAAACTTACAGCATATTTTGACAATAAAAAAAAATCTTGAAATAAAAAAAGTCATTTTTTGAAAAGTTTTAAAAATGTTCTAGAAAAATTATTATACAGTAAATTGAATATAAACACAGAATTGAAAGTGAATTATATATAAAATTGTAAATACAGAAAGACAACCAAAAAAAATCACACATAAGAGAATTTGTATAATGTGAAACATGAATTGTGTTAAAGATTCATTCATTGATTGATTGTCCTTTATTTAAAAGTTACAGGATATTTTGAGGATATTGGACATTAATGATAATAACAAAGTTTATCAAATAGTTTATCAAAAGTTTATCAAATAGTGGGAAAAGAATCTGTGGATTATGTCAAAAAAAGATAAATAAATGCTTTGTTCATTTACTTTTACTCGACATTTTCAAAATGAGAAATAGGGCCTACTGCATTCAGTTCATTTAATGTAAAACCTTAAGCACCCCCCCCCCCCAAAAAAAAAATAGAAAATAAAAAAAATGTAGAACAGTAGGTGTAAAACATATAATGTGAATCTCCGATATATGTAATTAATGTTTCAAATTTATATTTTTAGCATGTCTTAAATGCAATATAATACAAATAATCTATATAATAAATTATATGGTATTTACCATATGCACTTGTGCCTGGGTGAAATATTACATCTTTTCATTTTCATGCAGTTTTATAATGCAAGTATTTTAGTGGATAATTATGTTGATTTTCTTCCATTATATTTTCTTGGGCAATATTTATACACCTAGCAATATCTGATAGCTCTGTATGTTAAAAAACAGAAGACCCTTAGAACTCAGTCCTGTAAAATGAACTATGAAGATAACAAACAGTATTAAATAGTATTATTTAGTAGAACTAAATAGTTCAGAAAAAATCTGGAGTGTCCAAAATATCTGTTATATATAGTCAAGGTGCTGACACTTCACATAAATGTAAAATTTTGCTTTTTATAGATCATGTAGGTAGTGACTGCCAAATGCATGAAGTGAAAGTTGATCGACCTACATCATATATGTACATAATCATGCAATAAAATGAATAAATAAATTAAGATCTACCAGCTTCTAATAAAAAAGATAGTCATTGTCATAATAATTAAAAGGTGTATTTGTATGTTTTCTTTTTTTCCTATTAGTTTTATGATTTGAAGTAAGTTGATAAAATGTCAGTTTTCGGTTGTTGTTTTCTCTCTCTCTCTCTCTTTCTCAGACATGTAACATATTATGGGGCACTTATGCGTACATTTTGACTTATTCTTAGCATTTAAAACAGTTCTTTCTTAGGTGTATGTATGGTATAAAATAAAGAAAAGGACAACAACTTACCATCTTACTACTTTTTCAACAAATGAAGCTGTAGATAACACATTCTTGCACCAGACCATGTCAACATCCGTTTCTAGAGGAAATGCGTGACCTCCATATCCACAACTTGTACTGCATTGAATTCGGATTATTTTCTCTCATTTTATGAGAAAACTCGTCAAAATATATTTGAATGCAAAACAATACTTACATTGTTTACCAAATCACATTGAATTCCTTTCGTTGAATTTTCAGGATTTTTTGTAATTTTAATTTAGAAAGAACGACTACTCCCTCGATAAACTGGTTTCCTGCCCCGTGATCTTGACGCTAATGGACGAGTTTACCATGTTAAATCCCCGTAGACTTTGAATTTGCCGCCGTGTCAATACACCGGTTGAACTCGAGGGTTCGGATGAATGCAGGAAGTTTGGGAAAAAAAATGATCTATCGATCGAACCTAGTTTGAAGGCCAAGGTATTTATACATTTTGAGATATGAGGCGAAAAGTGAGGTCCTTGGTACCGTGGGACAGACTATAAAACGTTTGGGTCACAGGAAAGAAAAATCCATCACCCTGTCAGATGAGGATTTCTTTTCTTAAATTATTACTGTTGGGGCAAGGTTCTTGTCATTAGACGGAAAAGTCATCTAAAAGAAAATTTAATGAAGAATGCAAAATGTCTGTAATTTGTTTTGTGCAGATTAAACATCATTGCACAGTATATTGTCAGAAGTGAGGTAATATTAATTTAAATGTTTTGAGAAGAAAACGTGTTTGAAATATGAGGAAAACGTCTTATTGATCGAAAACCATGATATGATCGTTTTGAACACTTAAAATTTTTTTACCCCGTCAAATAAAACTTGCTAACAACCGTATCATACATATACTACAACATTTAAGGTTAGTTTATTATAGTATCATTTAAAAACTATATTTTTTTTTAATTCGTAACGTTTCTCTAGGAAAGGGATGATAATTCGACCTCTGATACCTCTTTAATTTCCTATTCATTTTCTATTATCCAGAATTAGATGTTCCCTGTGATGGGTACGAGAATCCAAAAGCGAGAAAAGATAAAACAATTAAAGATTCCACTTTAAAAATTACTACTTTTGATCAAGGTAAGAATGTTTATAATCTATATGAAACTTCAAATTGGACAAAGCATAACATAAATATTTGATGCTCTAGTTCTCCTTCTCATAGGCTAAGGAAGTTTCTCTGATCAAAGACTGTCCGACATGAATCTTTCTGTTTCTTTTTCTCTTGAATTTTGTTGGAAAATAGGCTAAATTTTCAAAACAATTGTAACGTTTAATATTGCATCATGTAGAAGACAAAGTAAAAATATGTTCATAAGATGAACAGACAAAGAATGATAAACATTTCCATGCAAAGAGAGCTTTGTTATGTAGATTTCAGTTATGCACGAAGTGCAGATTCCAAGTGGATTCTTGCCCAATCAGGGAATAGAAATCAAAATATAATGCAATGGAAAATCAGTTCATGTGTAGGACTTTTTTTATTCCTAAAAACGATAGTGGTTCAATAATTTAAAGTTATGATAAACACCTTTCTACAGACATGAAAAATAGAATAAGTCTTGTTGAAGAATTTTCCATTGAACTACATCGGGCAAAAGTAAGATGTCAGTACTTTCTTGCTAAATATACACATGATACAAAATTAAAACTATTTAAAGTTGATTAAAATCATTTGGACCCTAGAAAAGATGTGAGCATCCCCCTGTCAGATGAAGAAATTTATTCCTTAATTATGACTTTTTCCAGCAAGGTTCTTCTCATTAAATGAGAAGGATTTATACAAAACTATTCAATGACAAAAACAAAATGACCATTATTTGTTTCATCGGTATTAAACATCATTACACAGCATATTGTCAGAATTCAGGTAATATAAAATTAATTTTTTTGAGAAGAAAAAGTGTTTGAAATGTGTAAAAAGTCATATTGATCGTAGAAAAATCATGATATGATTGTTTTGACCCTTTCTATTTATTTTTGATCCTGTCAAATTAAAATTGTTAACAACCTTATACATGTACTACAACATTAAAGAATAGTTTTTTAAAAAACTCATTTAAAGACTAATTTTTATGTACGGAATGTTTCTCTAGGAAAAGGGGTGATAATTCGACCTCTAATATCTCTTAAAATCCACTTTATTTTCCTTTATCCAGAATTAGATGTTCCGTTCAATGGGTACAAGATTCCAAGAGCGAGAAAATATCAAGCGATTAAAAATTCCACTTTAAAAAATACTACTTTTAATGGAGGTAAGAATGTTAATCATCTACGTGAAATTTTGGATTTGACAAAGCATAACATAAATATTTGGAGTTTTAGCTTAGGTTCTCATAGGCTACGGAGGTCACTCTGATCAAAGACTCTCCGGCATGAAACTTGTTGTTTCTTTTCTGTTGAATTTTGTAGGAGAATAGCCCACATTTCAAAACATTTGTAACGTTTGACTTTGCATTATGTAGAAAACATAGTGAAAATATGTTCATAAAATAAACAGACAAAGAATAATAAACATTTCCATGCAAGAAGAGTTTTGTAAAGAAGATTTCAGTTTTTTTTTTTACATCTTTCACACTAAGTGCAGATTCCAAGCGGAATAGAACCAAATAAGCAAATGGAAACCATAATGCATTGTAAAATCGGTTCATATGTAAGATTTTTCTTTTTCATAAAAAACGGCAGTGGTTCAATTTTACATTGATGATGAATATCTATCTACGGACATAAAATGTAGAATAAGCCTTGTTAAAGAATCTGCCATTAAACTAGGCAGGGTAAAAGTAAGATGTCAGAATTTTCTTGCTAAATATACAAAATCGATAAGATGGTTTTGAACCTTTTTTTATTGTTGAACCCGTCATATAAAATTGCTGACAGCCTTATTATACATATACTACAACATTTAAGAATAGATTTTATAGTACCTTTTAAGACTTTTTTTATGCATAGAACGTTTTTTTTAGGAAAAGGGATGATAACTCGACCTGTAGTATGTCTTAAATTCCACTTCAATTACGTTTATCCATAATTCAATGTTACCTTCGATGGGTAGAAGAATCCAATAGTGAGAAAATATTATTTAAAATTGATTAAAACCTTTGGGTCACAGGAAAGAAAAATCCATCACTCTGTCAGATGAGGATTTCTTTTCTTAAATTATTACTGTTGGGGCATGGTTCTTGTCATTAGACTGAAAAGTCTTCTAAAGGAGAATTTAATGAAGAATGCAAAATGTCTGTAATTTGTTTTGTCCAGATTAAACATCATTACACAGAATATTGTCAGAAGTGAGGTAATATTAATTTAAATGTTTTGAGAAGAAAACGTGTTTGAAATATGAGGAAAACGTCTTATTGATCGAAAACCATGATATGATCGTTTTGAACACTTAAAATCTTTTTACCCCGTCAAATAAAACTTGCTAACAACCGTATCATACATATACTACAACATTTAAGGTTAGTTTATTATAGTATCATTTAAAAACTACATTTTTTTAATTCGTAACGTTTCTATAGGAAAAGGGATGATAATTCGACCTCTGATACCTCTTTAATTTCCTATTCATTTTCTATTATCCAGAATTAGATGTTCCCTGTGATGGGTACGAGAATCCAAAAGCGAGAAAAGATAACGCAATTAAAGATTCCACTTTAAAAATTACTACTTTTGATCAAGGTAAGAATGTTTATAATCTATATGAAACTTCAAATTGGACAAAGCATAACATAAATATTTGATGCTCTAGTTCTCCTTCTCATAGGCTAAGGAAGTTTCTCTGATCAAAGACTGTCCGACATGAATCTTTCTGTTTCTTTTTCTCTTGAATTTTGTTGGAAAATAGGCCAAATTTTCAAAACAATTGTAACGTTTAATATTGCATCATGTAGAAGACAAAGTAAAAATATGTTCATAAGATGAACAGACAAAGAATGATAAACATTTCCATGCAAAGAGAGCTTTGTTATGTAGATTTCAGTTATGCACGAAGTGCAGATTCCAAGTGGATTCTTGCCCAATCAGGGAATAGAAATCAAAATATAATGCAATGGAAAATCAGTTCATGTGTAGGACTTTTTTTATTCCTAAAAACGATAGTGGTTCAATAATTTAAAGTTATGATAAACACCTTTCTACAGACATGAAAAATAGAATAAGTCTTGTTGAAGAATTTTCCATTGAACTACATCGGGCAAAAGTAAGATGTCAGTACTTTCTTGCTAAATATACACATGATACAAAATTAAAACTATTTAAAGTTGATTAAAATCATTTGGACCCTAGAAAAGATGTGAGCATCCTCCTGTCAGATGAAGAAATTTATTCCTAAATTATGACTTTTTCCAACAAGGTTCTTCTCATTAAATGAGAAGGATTTATACAAAACTATTCAATGACAAAAACAAAATGACCATTATTTGTTTCATCGGTATTAAACATCATTACACAGCATATTGTCAGAATTCAGGTAATATAAAATTAATTTTTTTGAGAAGAAAAAGTGTTTGAAATGTGTAAAAAGTCATATTGATCGTAGAAAAATCATGATATGATTGTTTTGACCCTTTCTATTTATTTTTGATCCCGTCAAATTAAAATTGTTAACAACCTTATACATGTACTACAACATTAAAGAATAGTTTTTTAAAAAACTCATTTAAAGACTAATTTTTATGTACGGAATGTTTCTCTAGAAAAAGGGGTGATAATTCGACCTCTAATATCTCTTAAAATCCACGTTATTTTCTTTTATCCAGAATTAGATGTTCCGTTCATTGGGTACAAGATTCCAAGAGCGAGTAAATATCAAGCGATTAAAAATTCCACTTTAAAAAATACTACTTTTAATGAAGGTAAGAATGTTAATCATCTACATGAAACTTTGCATTTGACAAAGCATAACATAAATATTTGGAGTTTTAGCTTAGGTTCCCATAGGCTACGGAGGTCTCTCTGATCAAAGACTCTCCGGAATGAAACTTGTTGTTTCTTTTCTGTTGAATTTTGTAGGAGAATAGCCCACATTTCAAAACATTTGTAAAGTTAGACATTGCATTATGTAGAAAACATAATGAAAATATGTTCATAAAATAAACAGACAAAGAATAATAAACATTTCCATGCAAGAAGAGTTTTGTAAAGAAGATTTCAGTTATTTAACATCTTTCGCACTGAGTTCAGATTCCAAACGGAATAGAACCGAATCAGCAAATGGAAACCACAATACATTGTAAAATCGGTTCTTATGTAAGATTTTTCTTTTTCATAAAAGACGTCAGTGGTTCAATTTTACATTTATGATGAATATCTATTTACGGACATAAAATGTACAATGAGCTTTGTTGAAGAATCTGCCATTAAACTAGATAGGGTAAAAGTAAGATGTCAAAATTTTCTAGCTAAATTTACAAAATCGATAAGATAGTTTGAACCTTTTTTTTAATTGTTGACCCCGTCAAAATTACTCACAGCCTTATTATACATATACTACAACATTTAAGAATAGAATTTATAGTATCTTTTAAGACTTTTTTTTATGCACAGAACGTTTTTTCAGGAAAAGGGATGATAACTCGACCTGTAGTATGCCTCAAATTCCACTTCAATTACGTTTATCCATAATTCAATATTACCTTCGATTTGTACAAGAATCCAAAAGTGAGAAAATATTATTTAAAATTGATTAAAACGTTTGGGTCACAGGAAAAAAAACCCATCACCCTGTCAGATGAGGATTTCTTTTCTTTAATAATTACTGTTGGGGCAAGGTTCTTGTCATTAGACTGAAAAGTCTTCTAAAGGAAAATTTAATGAAGAATGCAAAATGTCTGTAATTTGTTTTGTGCAGATTAAACATCATTGCACCGTATATTGTCAGAAGTGAGGTAATATTAATTTAAATGTTTTGAGAAGAAAACGTGTTTGAAATATGAGGAAAACGTCTTATTGATCGAAAACCATGATATGATCGTTTTGAACACTTAAAATTTTTTTACCCCGTCAAATAAAACTTGCTAACAACCTTGTCATACATATACTACAACATTTAAGGTTAGTTTATTATAGTATCATTTAAAAACTATATTGTTTTAATTCGTAACGTTTCTATAGGAAAAGGGATGATAATTCGACCTCTGATACCTCTTTAATATCCTATTCATTTTTCTTTATCCAGAATTAGATGTTCCCTGTGATGGGTACGAAAATCCAAAAGCAAGAAAAGATAACGCAATTAAAGATTCCACTTTAAAAATTACTACTTTTGATCAAGGTAAGAATGTTTATAATCTATATGAAACTTTAAATTGGACAAAGCATAACATAAATATTTGATGCTCTAGTTCACCTTCTCATAGGCTAAGGAAGTTTCTCTGATCAAAGACTGTCCGACATGAATCTTTCTGTTTCTTTTTCTCTTGAATTTTGTTGGAAAATAGGCTAAATTTTCAAAACAATTGTAACGTTTAATATTGCATCATGTAGAAGACAAAGTAAAAATATGTTCATAAGATGAACAGACAAAGAATGATAAACATTTCCATGCAAAGAGAGCTTTGTTAAGTAGATTTCAGTTATGCACGAAGTGCAGATTCCAAGTAAATTCTTGCCCAATCAGGGAATAGAAATCAAAATATAATGCAATGGAAAATCAGTTCATGTGTAGGACTTTTTTTATTCCTAAAAACGATAGTGGTTCAATAATTTAAAGTTATGATAAACACCTTTCTACAGACATGAAAAGTAGAATAAGCCTTGTTGAAGAATTTTCCATTGAACTAGATCGGGCAAAAGTAAGATGTCAGTACTTTCTTGTTTAATATTCACATGATACAAAATTAAAACTATTTAAAGTTGATTAAAATCATTTGGACCCTAGAAAAGATGTGAGCATCCCCCTGTCAGATGAAGAAATTTATTCCTTAATTATGACTTTTTCCAGCAAGGTTCTTCTCATTAAATGAGAAGGATTTATACAAAACTATTCAATGACAAAAACAAAATGACCATTATTTGTTTCATCGGTATTAAACATCATTACACAGCATATTGTCAGAATTCAGGTAATATAAAATTAATTTTTTTGAGAAGAAAAAGTGTTTGAAATGTGTAAAAAGTCATATTGATCGTAGAAAAATCATGATATGATTGTTTTGACCCTTTCTATTTATTTTTGATCCTGTCAAATTAAAATTGTTAACAACCTTATACATGTACTACAACATTAAAGAATAGTTTTTTAAAAAACTCATTTAAAGACTAATTTTTATGTACGGAATGTTTCTCTAGGAAAAGGGGTGATAATTCGACCTCTAATATCTCTTAAAATCCACTTTATTTTCCTTTATCCAGAATTAGATGTTCCGTTCAATGGGTACAAGATTCCAAGAGCGAGAAAATATCAAGCGATTAAAAATTCCACTTTAAAAAATACTACTTTTAATGGAGGTAAGAATGTTAATCATCTACGTGAAATTTTGGATTTGACAAAGCATAACATAAATATTTGGAGTTTTAGCTTAGGTTCTCATAGGCTACGGAGGTCACTCTGATCAAAGACTCTCCGGCATGAAACTTGTTGTTTCTTTTCTGTTGAATTTTGTAGGAGAATAGCCCACATTTCAAAACATTTGTAACGTTTGACTTTGCATTATGTAGAAAACATAGTGAAAATATGTTCATAAAATAAACAGACAAAGAATAATAAACATTTCCATGCAAGAAGAGTTTTGTAAAGAAGATTTCAGTTTTTTTTTTTACATCTTTCACACTAAGTGCAGATTCCAAGCGGAATAGAACCAAATAAGCAAATGGAAACCATAATGCATTGTAAAATCGGTTCATATGTAAGATTTTTCTTTTTCATAAAAAACGGCAGTGGTTCAATTTTACATTGATGATGAATATCTATCTACGGACATAAAATGTAGAATAAGCCTTGTTAAAGAATCTGCCATTAAACTAGGCAGGGTAAAAGTAAGATGTCAGAATTTTCTTGCTAAATATACAAAATCGATAAGATGGTTTTGAACCTTTTTTTATTGTTGAACCCGTCATATAAAATTGCTGACAGCCTTATTATACATATACTACAACATTTAAGAATAGATTTTATAGTACCTTTTAAGACTTTTTTTATGCATAGAACGTTTTTTTTAGGAAAAGGGATGATAACTCGACCTGTAGTATGTCTTAAATTCCACTTCAATTACGTTTATCCATAATTCAATGTTACCTTCGATGGGTAGAAGAATCCAATAGTGAGAAAATATTATTTAAAATTGATTAAAACCTTTGGGTCACAGGAAAGAAAAATCCATCACTCTGTCAGATGAGGATTTCTTTTCTTAAATTATTACTGTTGGGGCATGGTTCTTGTCATTAGACTGAAAAGTCTTCTAAAGGAGAATTTAATGAAGAATGCAAAATGTCTGTAATTTGTTTTGTCCAGATTAAACATCATTACACAGAATATTGTCAGAAGTGAGGTAATATTAATTTAAATGTTTTGAGAAGAAAACGTGTTTGAAATATGAGGAAAACGTCTTATTGATCGAAAACCATGATATGATCGTTTTGAACACTTAAAATCTTTTTACCCCGTCAAATAAAACTTGCTAACAACCGTATCATACATATACTACAACATTTAAGGTTAGTTTATTATAGTATCATTTAAAAACTACATTTTTTTAATTCGTAACGTTTCTATAGGAAAAGGGATGATAATTCGACCTCTGATACCTCTTTAATTTCCTATTCATTTTCTATTATCCAGAATTAGATGTTCCCTGTGATGGGTACGAGAATCCAAAAGCGAGAAAAGATAACGCAATTAAAGATTCCACTTTAAAAATTACTACTTTTGATCAAGGTAAGAATGTTTATAATCTATATGAAACTTCAAATTGGACAAAGCATAACATAAATATTTGATGCTCTAGTTCTCCTTCTCATAGGCTAAGGAAGTTTCTCTGATCAAAGACTGTCCGACATGAATCTTTCTGTTTCTTTTTCTCTTGAATTTTGTTGGAAAATAGGCTAAATTTTCAAAACAATTGTAACGTTTAATATTGCATCAGGTAGAAGACAAAGTAAAAATATGTTCATAAGATGAACAGACAAAGAATGATAAACATTTCCATGCAAAGAGAGCTTTGTTATGTAGATTTCAGTTATGCACGAAGTGCAGATTCCAAGTGGATTCTTGCCCAATCAGGGAATAGAAATCAAAATATAATGCAATGGAAAATCAGTTCATGTGTAGGACTTTTTTTATTCCTAAAAACGATAGTGGTTCAATAATTTAAAGTTATGATAAACACCTTTCTACAGACATGAAAAATAGAATAAGTCTTGTTGAAGAATTTTCCATTGAACTACATCGGGCAAAAGTAAGATGTCAGTACTTTCTTGCTAAATATACACATGATACAAAATTAAAACTATTTAAAGTTGATTAAAATCATTTGGACCCTAGAAAAGATGTGAGCATCCTCCTGTCAGATGAAGAAATTTATTCCTAAATTATGACTTTTTCCAACAAGGTTCTTCTCATTAAATGAGAAGGATTTATACAAAACTATTCAATGACAAAAACAAAATGACCATTATTTGTTTCATCGGTATTAAACATCATTACACAGCATATTGTCAGAATTCAGGTAATATAAAATTAATTTTTTTGAGAAGAAAAAGTGTTTGAAATGTGTAAAAAGTCATATTGATCGTAGAAAAATCATGATATGATTGTTTTGACCCTTTCTATTTATTTTTGATCCCGTCAAATTAAAATTGTTAACAACCTTATACATGTACTACAACATTAAAGAATAGTTTTTTAAAAAACTCATTTAAAGACTAATTTTTATGTACGGAATGTTTCTCTAGAAAAAGGGGTGATAATTCGACCTCTAATATCTCTTAAAATCCACGTTATTTTCTTTTATCCAGAATTAGATGTTCCGTTCATTGGGTACAAGATTCCAAGAGCGAGTAAATATCAAGCGATTAAAAATTCCACTTTAAAAAATACTACTTTTAATGAAGGTAAGAATGTTAATCATCTACATGAAACTTTGCATTTGACAAAGCATAACATAAATATTTGGAGTTTTAGCTTAGGTTCCCATAGGCTACGGAGGTCTCTCTGATCAAAGACTCTCCGGAATGAAACTTGTTGTTTCTTTTCTGTTGAATTTTGTAGGAGAATAGCCCACATTTCAAAACATTTGTAAAGTTAGACATTGCATTATGTAGAAAACATAATGAAAATATGTTCATAAAATAAACAGACAAAGAATAATAAACATTTCCATGCAAGAAGAGTTTTGTAAAGAAGATTTCAGTTATTTAACATCTTTCGCACTGAGTTCAGATTCCAAACGGAATAGAACCGAATCAGCAAATGGAAACCACAATACATTGTAAAATCGGTTCTTATGTAAGATTTTTCTTTTTCATAAAAGACGTCAGTGGTTCAATTTTACATTTATGATGAATATCTATTTACGGACATAAAATGTACAATGAGCTTTGTTGAAGAATCTGCCATTAAACTAGATAGGGTAAAAGTAAGATGTCAAAATTTTCTAGCTAAATTTACAAAATCGATAAGATAGTTTGAACCTTTTTTTTAATTGTTGACCCCGTCAAAATTACTCACAGCCTTATTATACATATACTACAACATTTAAGAATAGAATTTATAGTATCTTTTAAGACTTTTTTTTTATGCACAGAACGTTTTTTCAGGAAAAGGGATGATAACTCGACCTGTAGTATGCCTCAAATTCCACTTCAATTACGTTTATCCATAATTCAATATTACCTTCGATTTGTACAAGAATCCAAAAGTGAGAAAATATTATTTAAAATTGATTAAAACGTTTGGGTCACAGGAAAAAAAACCCATCACCCTGTCAGATGAGGATTTCTTTTCTTTAATAATTACTGTTGGGGCAAGGTTCTTGTCATTAGACTGAAAAGTCTTCTAAAGGAAAATTTAATGAAGAATGCAAAATGTCTGTAATTTGTTTTGTGCAGATTAAACATCATTGCACCGTATATTGTCAGAAGTGAGGTAATATTAATTTAAATGTTTTGAGAAGAAAACGTGTTTGAAATATGAGGAAAACGTCTTATTGATCGAAAACCATGATATGATCGTTTTGAACACTTAAAATTTTTTTACCCCGTCAAATAAAACTTGCTAACAACCTTGTCATACATATACTACAACATTTAAGGTTAGTTTATTATAGTATCATTTAAAAACTATATTGTTTTAATTCGTAACGTTTCTATAGGAAAAGGGATGATAATTCGACCTCTGATACCTCTTTAATATCCTATTCATTTTTCTTTATCCAGAATTAGATGTTCCCTGTGATGGGTACGAAAATCCAAAAGCAAGAAAAGATAACGCAATTAAAGATTCCACTTTAAAAATTACTACTTTTGATCAAGGTAAGAATGTTTATAATCTATATGAAACTTTAAATTGGACAAAGCATAACATAAATATTTGATGCTCTAGTTCACCTTCTCATAGGCTAAGGAGGTTTCTCTGATCAAAGACTGTCCGACATGAATCTTTCTGTTTCTTTTTCTCTTGAGTTTTGTTGGAAAATAGCCTAAATTTTCAAAACATTTGTAACGTTTGATATTGCATTATGTAGAAAACAAAGTAAAAATATGTTCATAAGATGAACAAAGAATGATAAACATTTCCATGCAAAGAGAGCTTTGTTAAGTAGATTTCAGTTATGCACGAAGTGCAGATTCCAAGTGGATTCTTGCCCAATCAGGGAATAGAAATCAAAATGTAATGCAATGGAAAATCAGTTCATGTGTAGGACTTTTTTTATTCCTAAAAACGATAGTGGTTCAATAATTTAAAGTTATGATAAACACCTTTCTACAGACATGAAAAATAGAATAAGTCTTGTTGAAGAATTTTCCATTGAACTAGATCGGGCAAAAGTAAGATGTCAGTACTTTCTTGCTAAATATACACATGATACAAAATTAAAACTATTTAAAGTTGATTAAAATCATTTGGACCCTAGAAAAGATGTGAGCATCCTCCTGTCAGATGAAGAAATTTATTCCTAAATTATGACTTTTTCCAACAAGGTTCTTCTCATTAAATGAGAAGGATTTATACAAAACTATTCAATGACAAAAACAAAATGACCATTATTTGTTTCATCGGTATTAAACATCATTACACAGCATATTGTCAGAATTCAGGTAATATAAAATTAATTTTTTTGAGAAGAAAAAGTGTTTGAAATGTGTAAAAAGTCATATTGATCGTAGAAAAATCATGATATGATTGTTTTGACCCTTTCTATTTATTTTTGATCCCGTCAAATTAAAATTGTTAACAACCTTATACATGTACTACAACATTAAAGAATAGTTTTTTTTAAAAAACTCATTTAAAGACTAATTTTTATGTACGGAATGTTTCTCTAGAAAAAGGGGTGATAATTCGACCTCTAATATCTCTAAAAATCCACGTTATTTTCTTTTATCCAGAATTAGATGTTCCGTTCATTGGGTACAAGATTCCAAGAGCGAGTAAATATCAAGCGATTAAAAATTCCACTTTAAAAAATACTACTTTTAATGAAGGTAAGAATGTTAATCATCTACATGAAACTTTGCATTTGACAAAGCATAACATAAATATTTGGAGTTTTAGCTTAGGTTCCCATAGGCTACGGAGGTCTCTCTGATCAAAGACTCTCCGGAATGAAACTTGTTGTTTCTTTTCTGTTGAATTTTGTAGGAGAATAGCCCACATTTCAAAACATTTGTAAAGTTAGACATTGCATTATGTAGAAAACATAATGAAAATATGTTCATAAAATAAACAGACAAAGAATAATAAACATTTCCATGCAAGAAGAGTTTTGTAAAGAAGATTTCAGTTATTTAACATCTTTCGCACTGAGTTCAGATTCCAAACGGAATAGAACCGAATCAGCAAATGGAAACCACAATACATTGTAAAATCGGTTCTTATGTAAGATTTTTCTTTTTCATAAAAGACGTCAGTGGTTCAATTTTACATTTATGATGAATATCTATTTACGGACATAAAATGTAGAATGAGCTTTGTTGAAGAATCTGCCATTAAACTAGATAGGGTAAAAGTAAGATGTCAAAATTTTCTAGCTAAATTTACAAAATCGATAAGATAGTTTGAACCTTTTTTTTAATTGTTGACCCCGTCAAAATTACTCACAGCCTTATTATACATATACTACAACATTTAAGAATAGAATTTATAGTATCTTTTAAGACTTTTTTTTATGCACAGAACGTTTTTTCAGGAAAAGGGATGATAACTCGACCTGTAGTATGCCTCAAATTCCACTTCAATTACGTTTATCCATAATTCAATATTACCTTCGATTTGTACAAGAATCCAAAAGTGAGAAAATATTATTTAAAATTGATTAAAACGTTTGGGTCACAGGAAAAAAAACCCATCACCCTGTCAGATGAGGATTTCTTTTCTTTAATAATTACTGTTGGGGCAAGGTTCTTGTCATTAGACTGAAAAGTCTTCTAAAGGAAAATTTAATGAAGAATGCAAAATGTCTGTAATTTGTTTTGTGCAGATTAAACATCATTGCACCGTATATTGTCAGAAGTGAGGTAATATTAATTTAAATGTTTTGAGAAGAAAACGTGTTTGAAATATGAGGAAAACGTCTTATTGATCGAAAACCATGATATGATCGTTTTGAACACTTAAAATTTTTTTACCCCGTCAAATAAAACTTGCTAACAACCTTATCATACATATACTACAACATTTAAGGTTAGTTTATTATAGTATCATTTAAAAACTATATTGTTTTAATTCGTAACGTTTCTATAGGAAAAGGGATGATAATTCGACCTCTGATACCCTCTTTAATATCCTATTCATTTTTCTTTATCCAGAATTAGATGTTCCCTGTGATGGGTACGAAAATCCAAAAGCAAGAAAAGATAACGCAATTAAAGATTCCACTTTAAAAATTACTACTTTTGATCAAGGTAAGAATGTTTATAATCTATATGAAACTTTAAATTGGACAAAGCATAACATAAATATTTGATGCTCTAGTTCACCTTCTCATAGGCTAAGGAGGTTTCTCTGATCAAAGACTGTCCGACATGAATCTTTCTGTTTCTTTTTCTCTTGAGTTTTGTTGGAAAATAGCCCAAATTTTCAAAACATTTGTAACGTTTGATATTGCATTATGTAGAAAACAAAGTAAAAATATGTTCATAAGATGAACAAAGAATGATAAACATTTCCATGCAAAGAGAGCTTTGTTAAGTAGATTTCAGTTATGCACGAAGTGCAGATTCCAAGTGGATTCTTGCCCAATCAGGGATAGAAATCAAAATATAATGCAATGGAAAATCAGTTCATGTGTAGGACTTTTTTATTCCTAAAAAGGACAGTGGTTCAATAATTTAATGTTATGATGAACATCTTTCTACGGACATGAAAAGTGGAATAAGCCTTGTTGAAGAATTTTCCATTGAACTAGATCGGGCAAAAGTAAGATGTCAGTACTTTCTTACTAAATATACACATGATACAAAATTAAAACTATTTAAAGTTGATTAAAATCAATTGGACCGTAGAAAAGATGTGAGCATCCCCCTGTCAGATGAAGAAATTTATTCCTAAATTATGACTTTTGGGGCAAGGTACTTCTCATTAAATGAAAAGGATTTATACAAAACTATTCAATGACAAAAACAAAATGACCATTATTTGTTTCATCGGTATTAAACATCATTACACAGCATATTGTCAGAATTCAGGTAATATAAAATTAATTTTTTTGAGAAGAAAAAGTGTTTGAAATGTGTAAAAAGTCATATTGATCGTAGAAAAATCATGATATGATTGTTTTGACCCTTTCTATTTATTTTTGATCCCGTCAAATTAAAATTGTTAACAACCTTATACATGTACTACAACATTAAAGAATAGTTTTTTTAAAAAACTCATTTAAAGACTAATTTTTATGTACGGAATGTTTCTCTAGAAAAAGGGGTGATAATTCGACCTCTAATATCTCTAAAAATCCACGTTATTTTCTTTTATCCAGAATTAGATGTTCCGTTCATTGGGTACAAGATTCCAAGAGCGAGTAAATATCAAGCGATTAAAAATTCCACTTTAAAAAATACTACTTTTAATGAAGGTAAGAATGTTAATCATCTACATGAAACTTTGCATTTGACAAAGCATAACATAAATATTTGGAGTTTTAGCTTAGGTTCCCATAGGCTACGGAGGTCTCTCTGATCAAAGACTCTCCGGAATGAAACTTGTTGTTTCTTTTCTGTTGAATTTTGTAGGAGAATAGCCCACATTTCAAAACATTTGTAAAGTTAGACATTGCATTATGTAGAAAACATAATGAAAATATGTTCATAAAATAAACAGACAAAGAATAATAAACATTTCCATGCAAGAAGAGTTTTGTAAAGAAGATTTCAGTTATTTAACATCTTTCGCACTGAGTTCAGATTCCAAACGGAATAGAACCGAATCAGCAAATGGAAACCACAATACATTGTAAAATCGGTTCTTATGTAAGATTTTTCTTTTTCATAAAAGACGTCAGTGGTTCAATTTTACATTTATGATGAATATCTATTTACGGACATAAAATGTAGAATGAGCTTTGTTGAAGAATCTGCCATTAAACTAGATAGGGTAAAAGTAAGATGTCAAAATTTTCTAGCTAAATTTACAAAATCGATAAGATAGTTTGAACCTTTTTTTTAATTGTTGACCCCGTCAAAATTACTCACAGCCTTATTATACATATACTACAACATTTAAGAATAGAATTTATAGTATCTTTTAAGACTTTTTTTTATGCACAGAACGTTTTTTCAGGAAAAGGGATGATAACTCGACCTGTAGTATGCCTCAAATTCCACTTCAATTACGTTTATCCATAATTCAATATTACCTTCGATTTGTACAAGAATCCAAAAGTGAGAAAATATTATTTAAAATTGATTAAAACGTTTGGGTCACAGGAAAAAAAACCCATCACCCTGTCAGATGAGGATTTCTTTTCTTTAATAATTACTGTTGGGGCAAGGTTCTTGTCATTAGACTGAAAAGTCTTCTAAAGGAAAATTTAATGAAGAATGCAAAATGTCTGTAATTTGTTTTGTGCAGATTAAACATCATTGCACCGTATATTGTCAGAAGTGAGGTAATATTAATTTAAATGTTTTGAGAAGAAAACGTGTTTGAAATATGAGGAAAACGTCTTATTGATCGAAAACCATGATATGATCGTTTTGAACACTTAAAATTTTTTTACCCCGTCAAATAAAACTTGCTAACAACCTTATCATACATATACTACAACATTTAAGGTTAGTTTATTATAGTATCATTTAAAAACTATATTGTTTTAATTCGTAACGTTTCTATAGGAAAAGGGATGATAATTCGACCTCTGATACCCTCTTTAATATCCTATTCATTTTTCTTTATCCAGAATTAGATGTTCCCTGTGATGGGTACGAAAATCCAAAAGCAAGAAAAGATAACGCAATTAAAGATTCCACTTTAAAAATTACTACTTTTGATCAAGGTAAGAATGTTTATAATCTATATGAAACTTTAAATTGGACAAAGCATAACATAAATATTTGATGCTCTAGTTCACCTTCTCATAGGCTAAGGAGGTTTCTCTGATCAAAGACTGTCCGACATGAATCTTTCTGTTTCTTTTTCTCTTGAGTTTTGTTGGAAAATAGCCCAAATTTTCAAAACATTTGTAACGTTTGATATTGCATTATGTAGAAAACAAAGTAAAAATATGTTCATAAGATGAACAAAGAATGATAAACATTTCCATGCAAAGAGAGCTTTGTTAAGTAGATTTCAGTTATGCACGAAGTGCAGATTCCAAGTGGATTCTTGCCCAATCAGGGATAGAAATCAAAATATAATGCAATGGAAAATCAGTTCATGTGTAGGACTTTTTTATTCCTAAAAAGGACAGTGGTTCAATAATTTAATGTTATGATGAACATCTTTCTACGGACATGAAAAGTGGAATAAGCCTTGTTGAAGAATTTTCCATTGAACTAGATCGGGCAAAAGTAAGATGTCAGTACTTTCTTACTAAATATACACATGATACAAAATTAAAACTATTTAAAGTTGATTAAAATCAATTGGACCGTAGAAAAGATGTGAGCATCCCCCTGTCAGATGAAGAAATTTATTCCTAAATTATGACTTTTGGGGCAAGGTACTTCTCATTAAATGAAAAGGATTTATACAAAACTATTCAATGACAAAAACAAAATGACCATTATTTGTTTCATCGGTATTAAACATCATTACACAGCATATTGTCAGAATTCAGGTAATATAAAATTAATTTTTTTGAGAAGAAAAAGTGTTTGAAAGATGAAAAAAGTCATATTGATCGTAGAAAAATCATGATATGATTGTTTTGACCCTTTCTATATATTTTTGATCCCGTCAAATTAAAATTGTTAACAACCTTATACATGTACTACAACAATAAAGAATAGTTTATTAAAAACTCATTTAAAGACTAATTTTTACCTACGGAATTTTTCTCTAGGAAAAGGGGTGATAATTCGACCTCTAATATCTCTTAAAATCCACTTTATTTTCTCTTATCCAGAATTGGATGTTCCGTTCATTGGGTACAAGATTCCAAGAGCGAGAAAATATCAAGCAATTAAAAATTCCATTTTAAAAAATACTACATTTAATGAAGGTAAGAATGTTAATCATCTACATGAAACTTTGCATTTGACAAAGCATAACATAAATATTTGGAGTTTTAGGTTAGGTTCTCATAGACTACGGAGGTCTGTCTGATCAAAGACTCTCCGGAATGAAACTTTTTGTTTTTTTTCTGTTGAATTTTGTAGGAGAATAGCCCACATTTCAAAACATTTGTAAAGTTTGACATTGCATTATGTAGATAACATAGTGAAAATATGTTCATAAAATAAACAGACAAAGAATGATAAACATTTCCATGCAAGACGAGTTTTGTAAAGAAGATTTCAATTATTTAACATCTTTCGCACTAAGTGCAGATTCCAAACGAATAGAACCAAATCAGCAAATGGAAACCACAATGCATTGTAAAATCGATTCATATGTAAGATGTTTCTTTTTCATGAAAAACATCAGTGGTTTAATTTTACATTGATGATGAATATCTATCCACGGACATAAAATGTAGAATGAGCTTTGTTGAAGAATCTGCCATTAAACTAGATAGGGTAAAAGTAAGATGTCAGAATTTTCTAGCTAAATATACAAAATCGATAAGACTCTTTTGAACCTTTTTTTTTTTTTTATTATTGTTGACCCCTTCAAAAAAAATTGTTGACAGCCTTATTATACACATACTACAACATTTAAGAATTGATTATTATAGTATACTTTAAGTAGAAATATATGGAGATAACGAACAGTATTCAAGCTCAGAAGTCCATTAAACAATACAAAATAGGAGCAGAGCAAACACGGACCTCCAAATCATCAGAGGTGGGATCATGTGCCATGGAGGAGTGAGCATCCCCTGCCGACCGGTTTCACCCGCCGTGTGCTCCTTTTCATGATCGGGAAATAACGGAAAAATCCGTCGACAATTCAGTGTGTAAATAATGGCCTAACAATTAGTATGAAAAATGTCAGTCAGCATTTGACTCAATGATAAATTGTATTTGCTGACATGGTCATTGTATCGACCATAGAACTTACGAAATGATGACTTTAAACGAGATTGCTGATATTCTTGTTTCATCAACTTGTTTGACAATAATTTACCTCGTTTTGGAAATTGTCCATACGTAGAGCATGCTCTTGCATATCGAATCAACTGAGAGATATATATCCCGTATGCAGGAGATGAGGGTATATTGCTGCATAAGTAAGGGAAGATGACGATTGAAAAGTTAAAGTCATCACGTAAATCATAAAGTATTTATCATTACAGTATCTTTTAAAACTTTTTTTCATGCACAGAACGTATTTTTAGGAAAAGGGATGATAACTCGACCTCTAATATGTCGTAAATTCCACTTCAATTACGTTTATCCATAATTTAATGTTACCTTCGATGGGTGCAAGAATCCAAAAGTGAGAAAATATTATTTAAAATTGATCAAAACATTTAGGTCACAGGAAAAAAAAAAGAGCATCCCCACTGTCAGAGGAAGATTTCTTTTCTTAAATTATTACTGTTGTGGCAAGGTTCTTATCAATAGATTGAAAAGTCTTCTAAAGGAAAATTTAATGAAGAAAACAAAATGTCTGTAATTTGTTTTCTCCGGATTAAACATTATTACACAGTATATTGTCAGAAGTGAGGTAATATTAACTTAAATGCTTTGAGTAGAAAACGTGTTTGAAATATGAAGAAAACGTCTTATTTATCGAAAACCATGAAATGATCGTTTTGAACACTTAAAATTTTTTACCCCATCAAATAAAACTTGCTAACAACCTTATCATACATATACAACAACATTTAAGAATAGTTTATTATAGTATCATTTAAAAACTTTTTTTTTTATAATTCGTAACGTTTCTCTAGGAAAAGGGATGATAATTCGACCTCTGATACCTCTTTATAATTAATTTCCTATTCATTTTCTTTTATCCAGAATTAGATGTTCCCTGTGATGGGTACGAGAATCCAAAATCAAGAAAAGATAACGCAATTAAAGATTCTACTTTAAAAGTTACTACTTTTGATCAAGGTAAGAATGTTTATAATCTATATGAAACTTTAAATTGGACAAAGCATAACATAAATATTTGATGCTCTAGTTCACCTTCTCATAGTCTAAGGATGTTTCTCTGTTCAAAGGCTGTCCGACATGAATCTTTCTGTTTCTTTTTCTCTTGAGTTTTGTTGGAAAATAGCCCAAATTTTCAAAACAATTGTAACGTTTGATATTGCATTATGTAGAAAACAAAGTAAAAATATGTTCATAAGATGAACAGACAAAGAATGATAAACATTTCCATGCAAAAAGAGCTTTGTTAAATAGATTTCAGTTACTTTAAATCTTTGCACGAAGTTCAGATTCCAAGTGGATTCTTGCCCAGTCAGGGAATTGAAATCAAAATATAATGCAATGAAAAATCAGTTCATGTGTAGGAATTTTGAATTTCTAAAACACTACAGTTGTTCAATGTTTTAAAGTTATGATTAACAAGTATCTACGGACATGGAAAGTAGAATAAGCCTTGTTGAAGAATTTGCCAATGAACTAGAACAGGCAAAAGTAAGATGTCAGTATTTTGTTGCTAAATATACACTTGATGCAAATTAAAACTATTTAAAATTGATTAAATACATTTGGGCCCTAGAAAAGGATGAGAGCATCCCCCTTTCGGATGAAGAAATTTACACAGTTGTACTAAAATTATGACTTTTGGGGAAAGGTTCTTGTCATTAAATGAAAACCATTTATACTAAAATATTAAATCACAAAAGCAAAATGGCCATTATTTGTTTCGTCTGTATTAAACATCATTACACAGCATATTGTCAGAATTCAAGTAATATAAAATTAAATTTTTTGAGACGAAGAAGTGTCTGAAATATGAAAAAAGTCATATTGATCGTAGAAAAATCATGATATGATAGTTCTGATTCTTTCTATATATTTTTGACCCGTCAAATTAAAATTGTTAACATCCTTATTATACATTATTTTTATCTTTGGAATGTACCTCTAGGAAAAGGGGTGATAATTCGACCTCTAATATCTCTTAAAATTCACTTTTTTCTTTTATCCAGAATTAGATGTTCCGTTAAATGGGTACAAGATTCCAAGAGCGAGAAAATATCAAGCGATTAAAAATTCCACTTTAAAAAATACGACTTTTAATGAAGGTAAGAATGTTAATCATCTATGATTGATTGATTGATTGTATGTTGTTTTACGTCCCATTCGAGAATTTTTCACTCATATAGAGACGTCACCATATACCGGTGAAGGGCTTCAAATTTTGACCTTTACTCGGCACTCAGGGCCATTGAGCAGTGAGGGATCTTTATCGTGCCAACGCCTGCCGTGACACGGGGCCTCGGTTTTTAAGGTCTCATCCGAAAGACCCGCAACTTTCACTTCAAAGTGCCGAGCGCATGGCGAAGGAACAGTTGCTACCTATTTTTTATCGACTTAGGTCTGTCGCGGCCGAGATTCGAACTCACGGCCTCCCGATCACGAAGCGAGCGCTCTACCGACTGAGCTACCGTGAACGGTAAATCATCTATGAAACTTTATATGAAACTTTGAATTTGACAAAGCATAACATAAATATTTTAAAGTTCTAGCTCACCTTCTCATTGTTTGAGGAGGTTTTTCTGATGAAAGACTGTCCGGCATGAATCTTTCTGTTTCGCTTTCTCTTGAGTTTTGTAGGAAAATAGCCCACATTTTCAAAAGAATTGACACCTTTGACGTTTCATAATTTAGAAAACATAGTGAAAATGTGTTCATGAGATAAGCAGACAAACAATAATAAACATTTCCATTCCAGAAGAATTTTGTAAAGTAGATTCCAGTTACTTTTGATCTTTCGCACGAAGTGCAGATTTCATGTGGATTCGTGTCGAATCAGGGAATGGAAACCACAATGCATTGAATAATCTGTTCATATGTAGGATTTTTTATTCCTTAAAACGGCAATGGTTCAATTTACATTTATAATGAACACATATATGTGGATATTAAATGCATAATAAGCCATTAAACTAGATTGGGCAAAAGTAAGGTGTCCGTATTTTCTTGGCAAAATACCAAATCAAAAATATTTAAAGTTAATTACAAACGTTTGGGTCATAGAAAAAGATTTGAGCACCCCCAGCTGGATGAAATATTTTTTTCTTAAATTATGACTGCTTGTGCAAAGTTCTTGTCATAAGATGAAACTGTTTTATACAAAAATTTTAAATAAAAAAAAGGAAATGTTCGTAATTTGCTTCGTTGGGATTAAACATCATTACACAGTATATTGTCAGAATTGAAGTAATATTAACTGAAATGTTTTGAGAAGAAAAGGTGTTTAAAGTATGAAAATTCTTATTATTCGCCTTCATACTTTTATAACCCTGTCAAATTAAAATTGTTTACAACCTTACCATATGCATGTATATACACGACATTTAAGAATAGTTTATTATAGTATCATTTAAGGATGCTTTAAACACTGCACACTAAAGAGTTCTACTTGAAGGGTATTTTTATGCAGTTAGAGTGATCTGCCTTTAGAAGAAAGATAGAAAAAAAAAAGATAGAAAAAAATGGTTGTTTACTGTTAATTATACAATTTGTAATAAATTAAAATATTCTTAGCATTATATTAAACCAATGGAATTCATCATTTCCATTAATATTCCCGATCTAAGTAAACAACAGTGATATCTGTTCACGAATAGTCCATTGTCTTTGAACATCTTTCCTGCGGAAATAAGGCAGGTACCCTATGCTGACAATGAACTAAATAGTCCCAATATTTTCACCTTTATTTGATATATTTTTCTCCAAGTCCAAAATGTACTTTTTGTTAGTGTTTAGAGTTTCCTTTAAGGCTAATTTTTTATCTACGGAATTTTTCTCTAGAAGAAGGTATGATAATTCGAACTCTAATATCTCTTAAATTCTATCTCTTTTTTTATTATCCAAAAATCCGTTGTTTCCTTTGATGGGTACGAGAATCCAAAATGTAAAGCAATTAAATATTCAACTTCAGAAAATACCACTTTTTATGGTTAGAATGTCTATTATCTGTATAAAACTTTGATTTTGACAAATGATAACCATTTGGAAATTGGAAAAAATATTATACAGAAAAATATCTGGACTCAAAAAACAAATTTTCGCAATTTGTAACGCTGGAATTACACATCATTACATTGTATATTGTCAGATTTGAAGAAAAGGTCTTACATTCGATGAGAAAAATAAAGTTTTTTGCTTTGTGGATAATTAGAAAAAAAAGTTTTAATTATTGTAAGAAAATGTGAAGTTATTGGATGTTTTCAAATCCTGGTTGTCTTATTTGACATAAAAAGTTTGTCCATGTATTTCAAAATTGCTACCAACAGTGACAAAAATACTACTATTAATAATTGTTGTTAACTATAGCAAAAATGTAAAAAAAAAAAAAAAAAAAAAAAAAAAAAAAAAAAAAAAAAAAATCAGATATGTTTTTGCTGATCTTAGGCTGATTTTAAGCTTAGGTATTCTTTTCTGATCGAAAAGTTTCAGAGATGTAATATTTGTCGTAACACTGGCATATGGTTTTCCGTCTTTCTTTCTGTTGTTCTTCATTGGAAAACCGAATTGATCTCTCAAACCACTGAACCGAATTCGAGCAAACAGACCACAAAGCATCTTTAGTGATATGTGATTGTTGTCTGATGGAAGAAAGGGCCACGCCTTCTGCCAATAGGGATATTTGAGGAATATTGTGAAGCTTATGGTATTGTTTATAAATCGTCCTCTCAAGAACCTATGCACCACCAAAAAAAAAATGCGAGGGGTTACATAAAATATTAAATTAAAACAACTGTTTCATTTTTTCAAATCATTTCGTTGTAAACCAGGATGGAGCATTAATGAGGGGTCGAATATTTATGAAACTATGGGCAGAAATGTCTTTAAATGTTTTTTTCTCAATAGGGCAAAATTTAATACTTTTATGATTGTATGATGCAGAAATCCACTTGTGGTATATATTAAGATTTGTAGAAAAATATGAACCAATACTCCGTTATTTTAATTTCTATTAAGAGTATATGAAGAGTCAGTTTTGTTAAAATTGTGAATGTTGAGTTCGAAGGGTGATTTACGTTTGACATGTGAATATGTAGAGGACGTCGTGAAAATATATTCAACTGAAGAAAACGCTGACAAATATTCACATGAAGATGCAAGAAACTCCATGTCTTGTAGATCCCACTTAGTTTAAATAATCCTTTCTGAGGGTAAATTCCAGGTGGATTCGTGCCCCTTCGTTGAATGTGATATCGCGATGCAGTTTTAAAGCTGTTCATATTGCAGGGGCTCTTTTAATAATTACGATGTGTATGTATCTACGGACATGCAGTGGAGAATTAAAATTCGTGAACATTTTATTAACATTTTTTTTTTCAAAATGAATAATTGTAACCTGTAATTTCTCTTTATCTAGAATATGGTGTGAAAATGGATGAGTATGAGAATCCAGAAGCATGTAAATTTAAACAAATTATGATTCCAGCTGTAGAATATACACCTCTTAACGGTAAGAATGTTTATAATATAAATGAGACTTAGATTTTGAAAAATCAAAAACAAAACTCTTCAAGTTTTAGATCACCTAGTCTTAGGCTAAGGGGAGCTTCTTTAATCGAAGACTTTCTGACATGGTTTTGTCCGAAAATTGATAATGTATTTTCAACTTGCTTTTTCCTGAAAATCTTGTTCTGGTGTGAAACTGCCTTCATGGGGAAGGTTTACTCTATAGTTATAAGCCATACCCCATCCCCGGGTCTGGTTCTGGAGGGATCCCCTTCAGGTGAACTCTACTCTTAGCCCATTGGATAAGAAATTTAAAGGGTGGAGATAACGAACAGTGGTCGGCCTAAAAAATCTATAAACAATACAAATATGTGAAGAGGGCAAAAAACTCGGACCCCTGAAAATTCCAGAGGTGGAATCAGGTGATGGAGAAAAAAAATTCCTTCTCTCTCTTTTTTTTAAAGCTTTTATTTGTACTAAACAAGTTAAGACAAACGGTCAATATATGTAACAGCGATTAAGCGATCACATAAGACGGTTATCTAATTAGTAGAAAATAAATACCTTCATCTAAAACAAAGATATAAATATGATTAATTCCTTTGATAGTTGGGTCTAGGACGCAATGTACAAATTTTCTGTGCAACAATGATAGGTTGATTATGCAGAAGTGATATCCCTGCTTATAAAAATAAAGAAGTTATAAATAGAGGCAAATAAGAAAATGGCGTATTTTTTTTTAATTCCTAGTGACGGATTATTAATTTAACCAAAATCAATTAATACACCACTGTATTAAGTATTGGTATGTCTTCACACTCGGTAAAGAGATTGTACTACTTGCAACAGCAAGAGTGAATTAAAGGGGACGTCCGACTTTACAACTAGTGGTTAAGTAAGTCTCTCCCAGGAAATTGTGGCTCTAGAGTGAAAGTTCATTGGGGTTATCTTGCTTTAGATTTGTTCTATCACCAAGGAAAAGTTTCACTCTAGAGCAAAACATACAGGGTTAGTCTCACTCTTAAACATGTGCTGCGATGGAATGCCTCACAATGGGGGAAGTTTCAATCAACAACAGCTGGAATTTGTAAAATTTAAATTTAATCTCGATACATGGTAAATTAATAGAATTGATTTCATATACTTAAACAAAATATTTGGTTTACGGTCAGCACGATTAGTGGGTTCGAATATCTTTTTGGGAAGGTTAAAGAATCCCAAATTACACATTCTAATGGGTTATCATAGCCATCTAGATCAACACAGGTGCATCATGTATTTCCAGCAATGCACTTTGTTTAAACAAGTAAGCATATATATTTCCCTGTGTTTAACTTGAAAAAATGGCGTGTTTAATAGCACTAAAATATAACAATGTAGAAATAGTATATACATGTAATTTCATTTAATCGCTGTTTTCTGAATAGACTCTAAATTGATTTTATAATTATTTCAGAATCGCAAAGTCCAATGTATGAAATTTTTATTATCTACTCGAAGAAGATTAAGGATGTTGTTCGAGAAAGCCCTAATCTTCCTCTTTTATCTAAGAAAATTAATAACGAAAATTGTATGACAACGGATATTAGAAACGAAAAAAAATCAAGGTAATGAGTGCATGCATACATTGCATACATTTTCTGCTTTTTTATTATGTTCTTTTTAAGCTTTTTTATCAATAATATCATCAACATGATCATCATCTTCATTATGTTTCATAAATCTGTATTTTAGCTTTTTTCATGAATGAACAACTGCATTCTCTATCCAGAGTTGTCGTTCCCGCTACGCTCCCACATACACCTCTGTCTACTCTTATTATACAAGTTTCTCGGAAAAATTGTACATGAATAAACGTTGTATTACTAATTGTTTTTAATAATATTTCTTATCGGAAAATATCATTTATTTTAATTTCTTACAATTTATAATGATTTTTTATTAAGATTTTAATTTTTACTCCGCAAAATGATATATATGGAGATAACGAACAGTATTCAAGTTCGAAAGCCCACCAAACACCGCAAAACAGGAGCAGAGCAAACGCGGACCTCCAAAACATCAGAGGTGAAATCAGGTGCCATGGAGGAGTGAACATCCCCCGCCGACCGGTCTCACCCGCCATGTGTTCCTTGTCATGATCGCGAAATAACTGGAAAATCCGTCGACAATTCAGTGTGTAAATAATGGCCTAACAATTAGTATGAAAAATGTCAGTCAGCATTTGATTCAGTGATAAATTGTATTTGCTGACAAGGTCATTTTATCGACCTTGGAACTTGAAATGATGACTTTAAACGAGACTGCTGAAATTCTTGTTTCATCAACTTGTTTGTCAATAATTTACCTTGTTTTAGAAATTGTACTTAGAGCATGCTCTTGCGTATCGAATCAACTGAGAGATATAAACCCCGTATGCAGGTGATGAAGGTATATTGCTGCATAAGTAAGGGAAGTTGACGATTGAAAAGTTAAAGTCATCACGTTTATCATAAAGCTTGATTGTTAGATTACAATTAACGTCTTTCTGAAGTAAAATATCCAAATACGAGACAGTTGTGTCAGACTCTGTGTTATCTTTTATCTCAAGCTCACCGGGATATATCGTATCGACATAAGAATGGAATATAACCATATCATTGTTAATTGACAATACGTCATTGATATATCTAAATGTCGAGATAAAGGCCACAGCAAGTGTTTTTCTCTTTTCACGTATAAGACTTTGGACAAATTCTGCTTCATATGAATACAAAAAAGGTCTGCTAATAACGGGGCGCAATTGGTACCCATGGGAATTCCAATAGATTGTTGGAAGACCTGGTCTCCAAAAACCACATAGACATTGTCAATCGGAAACTCAAACATCTTTTTAATGTCAACTTCAGAGTACTTGTGTGTACAATCAGATTGTTTTTTAACAAAATAATTTTGCAAATGACCAATGACAAGGCAAGTAAATTTACGAGTTCTATCTTTATTGAAAAAGCAGCTGTCAATGATATCAAAAAGCCTGGACTTTAATTCATCGTGGGGAATGGTTGCGTATAAAGTTGAAAAGTCGTAAGTTTTTAAGCTGTTGATTTTGTTAAAATCTTGTGATTTCAAAATTTCCAAAAGTTCTTTGGAATTTGTAAGTATCCACATCTGATTTACACCACTTCTCGAATATATTGTTGCGCAGTACTCTTGAATTTTCTTTTTCACTACTGTAAATATCTTAGAGAGGAGTAAAGAAAGAGGCTTGGTTGAACATTTACTAGAATTCGTTATGTATCTTTGTTTATAAGGATTTTTATGAAGTTTCGGAATCAAATATAGATATGGTAATTCAAATTCATTTTGGTTGTTTGGAATGTTAAAAATATTCAAAACTGACATATGATTTTGAAGAATTTTTTCCTTAGAAAGGGAACTATGAGTATAAGTTGGATTACTACTTGTAGAATTAAATCCAAGTTCCTCTAAAATATATTTAATATAATGAACCTTACAAACAAAGACAATGTTGTTACCTGCTTTGTCAGCAGGAACCAGTAAGTACTGATCATGTAATCTTGTTTTCACGTCTGGATTATTGAATACAGAAGGATAGATGGTTCTCATAACGCCCCTCAATTTTTTATTGCGCGATTTTAGCATACATCTGATATATTCAATCTATTCTGACAAAGTGTCAAGGTCTTCTTCTTCATGTCTTGCCCATCGCCTGGCGTAATCCTCTACCGAATCCGTAATATTTATTAAATTCCGACACCAGTTGAAGGATTAGGGTTCGGTATGTTTAGGACCTTTTAAAATTAGTGTTCTTAAGTCCTCATTATTTACTATATTTACGTCACCAGTAATAACGTGTCCAGCAGGACTATCGTTATAGGGTGAAGAAGAACATGAACACGATAAAGGATTATGTTTCAATATTCGATTTCCAGGCCCTGTAAAGTTTTCTTGTAATTATAAAGTTTGGAAGCAATAGTCGGTGTAAATACAAGGTGTAGAAGTCTTTAACTTGAAATATGGTGGAATACAAAACTGGACCCTTTTGTGATTAAGAACATTACTTATATTAACCGCGTCAAAACGGATTGTTTTAGCTGTATTTTCTTCATTAAAACGTGGGGGTTTAAAAAGTCTATGATTTGCAATATCCATAATCACAGATCCGAGCCTATATATTCTGGTGTCGAGGAATAAAAAAAAATGGACTTTCCTTGACCGAATGAACTCCTTGAGTCTGTGTCTCTTATAGACTCAAAAAAGTGATTTCTTTTTATACTGGGGGAAGCGTCTGCCAGTATCATTTCGTTATTCTGTGTACTCATGAATGAAGAGGTACCGAACGACAAGTGTCCTCGGGGACAGACTGTCCCTAAAGCTAAAACCAGACTAGTTCCATAAAAACTTCGAAAATATGTTGTTTTGAGGGATTATAGATTTTTGAAAAATGATGAATTATCAACTTTTTCCGATTACTACAATAATTACTTACTATTTTAATTTCGAATTTTCACCGTAAAAATTTGTACAAGAATCTTCTAAAACGAGGTGTTGTGAGCGTAGCGGAAGACAACTCTGGATAGAGAATGGTACTACTGTTGGTATTTTGGATACTCATTGATTTACAGCCTAAACGTAATATAACATAGCATCATATAGCCGCTGAAGCACTGTAGATTCATATTATAGTCAACAATATTTTAATATAACTTACGTCAATTAAGTAACGTTTTTTTTTCGGAGTACTGATAAAGTATACCAAATTATCAGTATTTTTACTATAGTCAATCAGTGTATCAATGTTCCACTGATGAAACAGACTTCTTTCTACACTTATATTTAACCATATATATATATATATATATATATATATATATATATATATATATATATATATATATATATATATATATATATATATATATATATATATATATATATGAAATTCAAATAGTTATTTTTTTCCCATTCCCATTCTGAATTAAAACTCTTTTTATATGTGTATTCCATATTGTTTAGAAAGACACAGTCATCGACGTATTTAGGAATTAAATAGCAAATGAGTTAAGATCTAGCGTATACATTCCTAATAAATCAAAATGCTATAATAAACAATTTTAATGTCATTATACAACAAAATATTTAGTAAAGTAACAAAGTTTCATAGAAAATATTTAAACATAAGCTATAGTCTGCAAAAGTTTAAAAGTAAACTATAGGTAACTATGTTACTTTTGATAGTGTTAACTTGGCTACACAAATTTAATTTTTTTTCAGGAATCGTAAAAGGAGAATAGAAAATTTTCGAGGTATGGGAAAAGCTATCAATCTAATGCACATTTAAATCAAGTCCTTATATGTTCATGTTTAAATTTTGGATTTTCTCAATTTTGGATTCATTTTAAATTTCTTCACTATATAAGGACAAATATCTGGCTTTCATACCACGTAATGATCATAATGATAATAAGGATGATGATGATAATAATAATAAGAATACTGCAATACATTTAATACCTGTAAACAAAATTAGTCTTTCCAAATATTCTGATATATAAAAAAAAATGAGTATTTCATTACGCGGGTATGTTAAGGAAGCATACAAATCATTTCTCGGGAAATTTAGACTTTTTTTTAAGAAAATTAAGATTAATAATCCATCAAAGTCTTCGATAAAACATAAACTATTATTAACTATTACATAAAGACACGGAGTGTCCGAGGCCAAGTAGTGCACCACCTCGACGTCATCACGTGACCGCTATTAATAGCAAAATATTCCTTAATGAAAAACTTCACAGAACAACACTACCCCGGGGTTAAATAATTTTTTTGAGTAAACAACATAGTTGAAAAACATCTTTTATGCCTAAAAAGTGCTGCTAGAATCCCACTGTCCGATCGGGAAAATAATTATTCCATATATATGTACGAAACCTTACCCGATGTTTTGCATTTTATGCATAAAACCCGAGATATTTCTACAAACCATGTTTATCTCACGATTCTAGCAGCACTTTCTAAGTATTTTAGAACACAAGCTTTCGATATGTACAAATCTTATGTTTTTAAGTATCCAGCTTAGTGTTGTTCTTTTGCATTATTGTTGTCACGAATGACAGCGGAAAGGCCAACCGGGATACGTAAATAGATGACTGTCTTCAATAGAAGATATAATCGATGAAAATAAATCAACATACCTGTTTAACATACTTTAACTTCACATGAATAACACACAATATTCACGGTATTTGCTTCTAAACCTCCTTTTACGTATCTTTTTACATGCCGTTTTGGCCAAATTCTGGTTACGGCTCTAAATTCGCTCTTGAGTACATCTTGACCTATGATTTTAACAAGAGGAATATACAATAAATTATTTAAAAAATTGAAATAAGAAATGTTTTATATTGAAAAGTATATTGCAAATATATAAAAAAGATAAAATAAGCAGATTTTTTCATCAACTTACTTTTTTTTCTTGAAATGAATTTGATAATTCCACTAGAATTACGCATGTGTAGGGGGACATTTTCAACCATGTCAAAATAAAAGTCAAATATACGGCGATAATACCTTGTACACAGAATATCTTCATTCACTACTGTTTAGGAAGGATAAAATTAACATACAAAAGTATTTTTATGCAAATTTTGTCTAAAATAAAAGAAAAATTGGAATTTATTTCTTCTCATATTTTGAACGTAACGTCTGTCAGACTCAATACACCGGGTACATTGTTATAAAATGGGCCATTGTTTATGCAAACTATTTTATCTTTCTTGTCTACTGATAGAAAATTTACCTGTTTATCAATTAAGTGATCGCAGATTCAACAGAAAAGCACATGTGCTTAGAAATTAACAAATCTGTGGGATGCTTCCGATGTCTGTCATGGCAAGTGGGCGTTACGTTCTATTTTAAGAATGGAGCTTGGCGATGCTTCTTCTTATACATTTGACTTAAAGGTTATGAATATTAAAATTTTCTCCAGTGTTCTATGCAAATGTGTTTACATTTCGATAAGAAGAGCTACAGAGAGAGCCCGAGAAGCCACGAACGTTTGTCTGTCAAGTGTTACGTTACACAAAGTATGTTACGTTCATGAAAATATAAGTTGTCTTTATCCTAGATTTTAAACACATATCATCAAAATATTGTCAGCTAGTAGGTGTATTTTGGATTTTTTTTTAAATATGAACTTGCACGCTCTTCATCACTACATAAACACTTAAAATTTGACATTTCTTACATAACGTACCGATTGACAGACATTGCCTGAATACTATCGTAACGGTGACGGACAAAACGAATGTCTGTTCATGTTACGTGAATCAAACGGGTGCATTCAGATTTATACGTTCAGTGGATTAAACCAAAAAGTATTTTTATTTAAGAATATTAGTGTATCATAAGGCAAAATTTGTCTTTATAACTTAAACAATACAATTTTGTAGTTGTTTTCTTGCAGTTTTTAAAACGAGTCTGTCAGGGTTACGTGCATCCGTACATGTTACGATATAGGTTTGATCTATATGAAATAATTTATTTTTTTAAATTTCATTAGTATTTTCATAAAAAAAAATGATGTCTTGTGTATTATAAATTCCAAGAATAAAAGATAAGCTTTGAATGATAAATTTTATTGGCTCGTTTCAAACAGGTATTGCTCAAGAAATATCGTAACATGACAGACATGGTGGAAATTTTGTATGTTACAAAGCGTATAGCAGAGATTTATTTTTTAAAAATTCAAATTTAAAATCTATAAGGAATCAAAATTTGAATAATGTCCATTTCTTACGGCAACATTATCTTTTTGATAAAATAATGAAAGTTTATGGTTTATTTGGCTGGCTAAGTAAAGGAGTCTGTCAGTGTTACGATCATCAGTTTGTGCATCAAAAGTAGCTTAAAAATATTTTTTCTTATATGTAAGAGTGAAAAAAAAATTTGAATTGTTTAAGAAATTATTTAGTTTTATTTTTTACGGATTATTTGTATTGCTAAGCATCAGAAATGTAATTTAATCATGTCACGTTTTATCATACGTCTGTCATGCTACGTTATATGTCTGTCATGTGTTACGTGACACATATTTTAAACATTAATAAAATATTTATTTTTGACTTGATTATCTATTCAAACATTTTTTTGTCCTATTTAGAGTCAAAACTTCAAATACACATAAAGAAATCTAAGAAAAAAACGTGTCTACAGAATTCTTTATTTGTCCTCCCAGATGTACTCAAGAGCGAATTTAGAGCCTTACACAACATGATCGATTCTCAAGTTACTTGTTGAACAGTTATGACGTCATTGGTCGGAGATTATAATTCAAGTGACAGATACAGCATAACAAAATAAAAACATTTTATTTTTGTTAATATTTGCAAATTTCTATTCATTTTCAGGAGTCAAATTATATCTCTAAATAGCATTATTAGGAAAACTTGTGTTCTAAACTTGACGTCATCTCGCCTACTATGACGTCATATTGTATCACTGATTTAGTCAAGTCAGATTATCTTAGTGCTTCCTTAACACACCTGCGTATGGAGATACGTACTAATGAAAGTTGTAAAATGAAGCTTTTAATAAAAAAAAAGAATCTTATTTCAGGTTCAGCTTTCCAAAAAGCATTAAATCTTCAAAAGAAAGATGAATCAGAGCCCAAGGTTGGTTTTCATTTTCAAAGATATGTGGAAAAAAAATGAAAAATTCTAATAATTTATTTCCAAGATACAAATACACTGTTGTTTCTTTTTTTTATTCAGAAAAAAATTATAAAGAAACAAAAATACGCCGGTAAAATAAGAAAGAAAAGATATACGAAGATAAAAGGGAATACTTATTTTCATCCGGTAAGTTTATTTTCTTTAAGAAGGATGATCAATACGTTAAGTTGAATTACATATCAGCGTTTAAAATGAATAATGTATTCAGTGTCATAGTGAGTAATTAAAAAAAAAAATTAAAACGCAAAATGTGTTTGAAGCATATCCAGGGCCCAGCGTAAATATCAATAGGTTAAAGCAATTTCCTTAATGTTTTCATACGTATGCGTTCATATGCTTTTGCAAATAAAAAAAACTAATGACTTTAAAAAAATATGAAAATGCAGAAGGAAAACTATTCTTTAGAAATGTGTTTATCTTCTATGAGATGCGAAAATTTCAGTGTGCGTTTTTTTCTGGCAATATTGATAGAATCATACTGTACATGTAATATAGTACATATGTGTTCTTCAAATACAAGCTGTCTTTGTGTCAAATGTTAACTGATATTTTTTATACAAACAGGACCAGCAAGAGAAGAATGTAAACAAAGATGGAAAACGTCCAAGTCCAAGTATGTAGCTTCATTGTTATTTCTACATGTATATGTATGTATAGAAATACTGCAAGCTAAGCTGTTCAACATTCTTGCCATGGACACTCAAAATCTAAATGAAAGTTTCTGCTTTTTTTAATGCCTTCGCTCCTAGTCTTAGAATAAAACTGGGTACACCAATATAAGTCTATATATTAGTTTAATTTCTTTGAATGTTTTTTTCCTTGGTCCAAAAATAACCCCAAACATTGTGAAGATTTCTTCCAAGACAATATCTTAGTAAAGCCTTGTTAGGACTGTGATACTTTGTATTTTGCTAACCATTACATCACAGAATATGCCTTGACTAAATCAAGAATTCAAAAATTTGAGTTATCTATGTCATATTCTAGAGTGATTAAGGGGACGAAGCTAAAAAGATTTTTTTTTAAATTTTTACATGTAATATTTTTTCTAATTCATTTAAAACCTCAAGCTTATACTAAATGTATAAAAAATATATTTTAGCTGATACTCTTGGAAGACCACCGACAGATGAAGAGCTTGTCTTGATCAGCGGATATATTGGAAATAATTTCCTTTTATTGGGAGTTTTGCTGGGGTTAGAAAACATCAAAATCCAACAAATAATAATGAGTTTCCACGCAAGTGGTGTGCAGACCCAAATTTTTCAAATGCTCGCCACTTGGAAAATGGCAAAGGGGAGACAAGCCAGTGTAAAGAAGCTCCTAGATGCCATTGAAGTCTTCAAAGATGTCGATTTTGAGGAAATAAAAAGAGTTTTCAAGCTCTGACTCAAATCAATTGTGGACATTTGAACTTGTGTACTTATCGGGTTCAGAATGGACATTTTATTTGATTTATTTTAATTTATTTTAAATTTGGACTATATTCATAACATAATTATTTTAGTTATAAAGGAGGCTGGGGGGGGGGGGGGGGGGGTCAACAAATTAACCACAAATTAACCACTAGATTTAACTTAATTTTTTAGATATGATATCTTAAGCTGTCAACTATCATTTGGCAAAGAAAAATTTCAAAAGTTTTAGTTTTAAAATTTGATCATTTTCTATATCTTCATATGGAGCTCTTCTTCTAAAGGAGATCAATATAGTCTAAAAATGGCCACAACCCCCAGCCTCTTTAATATTGACAGTAAAATAAAATAAAAGTTTGTTAAATGTACATGTATATACATTGTTTGTGTACCACATGCAGTGATTTTATAACTGGAAAAGAGACTTTAACAGCATGAACTATAATTATATTGTAAGATCAAATTGGATATTGTTACTGAACTATAATTTTGTTAACACATGTAAACACAAAAAACAATGGAATTGATCAGAATAGACCAATTAAGCCCATCGATACTAAGCAATAGAATTTGAATGGAAATGTAAAGTTACTAAATTAAGATTCTTGATTATGAGTAATAAGATTGGGAATTTTGAAGCAGATAAGTAAAAGAGCCTAGGGCTAGAACTCCTGTGGTGCAGAGATGGAGACTGAGTCCATAAATATTATTAATGAAGGTATATCTGGATTGGAGGGTGGTGCCATGTTGGGGTTCATAGGTCAACGGACAGACCTACGAACTAAGCGTAGGTGTTATATATGGCAATGTTAAGTCAGTCAATGAAAAGTATTTTATATCCGGGACCATGAATACCCTCTGAGCACAAAATACCCTGTTTTGCCAGAAAACGACACTCTATCCTTCTTTCTTTCGACCATTCAATAGGCATCCATTGACTTTTTGGATTACAATTTGGACTCTAATTTTTAGTACCTCACCTTAATTACTGCTTTTGGAGTTTTAGTTCTACGCTCTTCTGAAATATTTGGGGCAGATCTTAACAACTGTGCTATAACCAGTGTATTAGTCTATTCTGATGAAATTTCAGAAACTAGCATTTTAAAATCTATACGATCACGGTAGTTTAATAAACTTTTCATCCTAAAAACTTACAATCTTCGTCATTGGTTTACCTCTGATAAGTCAATTTGGCGCTCGTTGACCAGGATTTGTGAAGTACAAAGGATTACTACTATTGGATAATACAGAAAGATCGGAGACACTTAAGGTGAGACAATTTCTCTTTTCCTCTTAACTTTTTAGATGACCACGTAAATCAAAACTCAATTGAATTTACTTGTTATCTCAGATAAGTGCATGTAAAAACACAAAGCATATATATTTAAATAAATTTTATTGTGGCGAAAATTGAGCACGGCTGTATATCCAGAGACACAAATTATCAAAAGCTATTGGTGTCTCTGGCAAAACAACAAAGCAAAGATTACTTAATTAAATATTCAAACTATGTCCAAAGTTCATAGTTCAGAGGTCAAAGTTCACAAAACACTATCTCACAATGTAAAAGCCTTGACCCTGGGAGGTGCAGAGGTCAAGCACTTTTTTATATGTATCTAAATCCAAAGTTTGCTTTAAAACTTTCATGAGTTACATCACTGCATATAAGGATATTTACTTAGGGCCGCTCGTTTACGCCACAAGTTCCCCACCACAATATTGTGGTTGGGAACTCCGCCACCATATTGGTGGGGGGTAAGAGCGGCAGAAATAGCCATGCCCAAGCCAATACCTATCATGATCGTTATAATGATCCCGTGTAAACGTATTAAAACCTAACCCCCAATTATGCCTCAAGTTGACTTGATGACCCTTAATGATAATAAAGAAATGTCTCTCGTTGGATGTAAAGATGTAAACATTTTTTTTCTTGAAATGCTGAATAGTAATGGTATACATGATGTATTAACAATCTTATTATATGTAAAGAAAAGATAAAACCCCTGGTTTCCTTTATACTTTATATAAATAATTGTAAAAATTTTAAACAAAAGAAAATTTGTCACTAACACTTATTTTATTTATGTCATGTCTCTATATACATGCATAATCTCCTATGACATGAATATGTGATAACTGAATGGTATAAAGTACATGTAATATGGTATATGAAAGGCAGTTTGTAGTAAGTAGATCATATACACATGTATATCTATACATGCAGAAGGCGTATGAATATACACAAAATATATAATTAATAATCAGTTAACATATTTTAAACATATTTTTTATTCCAATTAAAAGAAAAATGCACCAGACTTAATTATTGGAACTATTATTCCCTATTTATTGGTATATATCAAATTTAACAAATACCCAAATGAAAAAAAAAGGGAGAAATCAAAGTGATCAATCTAAAATAAATCTATAACAATACAAATGTGAACAGGGTATAAAACAAGGACCCCCTGAATTTCTGTGGGAAGGATCAAGTGCCTATGAGAAAACATCCCCTACTGACTGTTAAATCTACCTCAAGCCATATTTGTATTTATCAGATGGATGGAAAATTCCGCATACAAATTCGGCACAAAAACAAAGTCCAATAACAATTGGTATGAAACACATCAGCCAAAATAATGACCCAGTGATAGGTTATATTTGCTAATAAGACCATTACAACAGCAAGAGAATTTACGAAATACTGCCTTTAAAGGAGGTTTAATCTTGTTTAACTAACTAAATTACGATACTGCTTTAACTATTACTGATAAAGAAAACATGACATTGATTTTAGAAACAGAGTATTTGATTACACCATGCAATGCTAGCTAAGGACACCCTACCACTAGTAATCAGAGTTAGGGAATATATGTTATGCTTCCAACAAGAAAGTAAATGAGAAAGTAAATGATGTTGAAAATAAAATTCAAATGAAGATAAATATTTTTGTACAAGAAATATGTCAGATCAATGACCTTTTTGAGCCATAAATACCAGTCCAATAAAAATTAAAACTCAGTCCTTTGCAAATTTCAGAGTTTTCCAATAAACAGTTTTAGACTTAGTAAACAGTGATCTTTAATGTTTCGCAGAATAAATATTAGATTCTTGTAGTATCTGAAATTAAAAGTTGTAAATATTTGTACAAATCATATCATGTTAATTATTTATTTTTGAATGTCATTAAATAATAGAAAATTCAGCTTAATATTATATTATTTAGTAACTCTCATTATCAACCATTAAAACTGATAAATGTGTATAGTTATCGGAGTAAAGTTATCCCCCCTTCCCCTTTCTTAAAGTTTGTACTATCGTGCTGGACTACGATCGCTATATATTTGTTTTCTTTTTTATATTGATTTATTTTTTAATATAACTAAATAACCCATTGTTCTTTTTAATTCTCCATTTAAAGACCCCATCTTTATTTTCTTGTAAGATTCACACAATTTGGACGTGATACCACGCTTTTTTTTTAAGAAATCCATTAACATGGAGGACAATTGTCTATCTATGCCTAGTCCAAGCCTAAAAGCTGACAATATTACTTTTATAAGTGATTTTTCAAGTCAGTAAATAATTCCAATGACTGTTTTAAATCAATAATACAACAAAAACAAGAGGGAAAATTTTTACCGACCCAATTTGATGCTGGAAGATTGAAAAAGGAAGTTGCATCCAAAACGACCTCAGGTGTTTGTGTTGAAAGGGGCACTAATCAACTAAAATATTTGACAAGAACGATAATCACTAAGAATTAGTACTTAGATTTAGGTAAGGCATTTATGCACTTCCTTCGATAACAGCAGCTAATTCAGAGCGAATTAGCTCGGAACATTAATTTTACGCTATAAACATCAAAATTCTAAATTAAAAGGAAATTCTTTCATGCATTTACAATGGCAAGGGCTCCAACACACAGGGAACAGCTTAATCAAGCATTTAAAGAATTAACTGAACAAATGTCTGAAACAGAAATGTTAAGAGCGATTCTCTGTATTGACTTGAACTTTAACCTAGGAGCTGTGGCACACATAGTCTAAGAATTTCTCCAAACTCTCTATGATAAAAGTTTTTGATACCGTAAACTCAAATCAGTCAGGCAAAAATTTGTTGCTACGTGTCATGGTTACCATAGCAACATGTCCTAAACTTTGAAAAATGGCATTTTTTCAAAATGTTCAGAGTCCCGTAGTTAACGTTTGCAGCAAAGCAAAGAAGTGGCAGTGACTGTTTATGAAAGATGAAGGTCTGATGTCTTAAATACATGATAACATGTTTGGTAAATCAACTATTACATACGTTACTACGGAAACAAAGTATCCTAAATTAATAATTTTGTTCATTTAATTTTATTAAGTCATACACTTAAGAATAAAAACAATTCTAGGTTGAAATGCAGGCAAATAATAAACAAAAGAACCTTGTAACATACACCAAGGACGAAATATGATATTTCTTATAGGTTTGCAACGGTTGCCATGGTTTTAATACCACGAAGGGATTTTAAATTTGCTCTTTTAGTATTTTAATCTGATCCAATCTTTTTTAAAAGCATATTTCTATATAATTGATAATCAATTTTTAAAGGCGTTGGTGTGAAACTAATTTTCACATTTCCAAAAAAAATCAAATTAATTTCTTTAAATAGGGCGTTTCTATGGAAATAAGCTGAAAAAATATGCATAAAAATCTGAAAAATATTCTGTTTCCTTGGATACGTACCCTTGTATGTAGAGTCCCAAAACTTTTATGATTGATATTTATGAACAACTAACCTGACTATCAATTTTGACTACCACCCAATGTTGACTACCACCCAATTTTGACTACCACCCAATCTCTAACTAGATGCAAAAAGCTGGCACATAGGGTTTAATATTGATATAAAGTTAAGAAAATGGAACATTTTCCCTTCTTGGTAACCATAGCAACAGTGTTGTTTTCTTCATCAAAATTTATCAATATATGATATTCAACTTTAGTTCTACCAGATAAGTACTATTCAAGGTGAGTCAAATAATATGTTCCTTGATTAAAAGGTAAGTTAATTCCAAAAGCAGGAAAAAAATATCACTTTAAACAACTGGTACGTTGTTTCCATGGTTATGCTGCAATGAGATATATGGAGATAACGAACAGTATTCAAGCTCAAAAGTCCATTAAACAATTCAAAATAGGAGCAGAGCAAACACGGACCTCTAAACATCAGAGGTGGGATCGGGTGCCATGGAGGAGTGAGCATCCCCTGCCGACCGGTCACACCCGCCATGTGCTCCTTGTCATGGTCGGGAAATAACTGAAAAATCCGTCAACAATTCAGTGTGTAAATAATGGCCTAACAATTAGTATGAAAAACGTAAGTCAGCATTTGACTCAATAATAAATTGTTTTTGCTGACAAGGTCATTTTATCGACCATAGAACTTACGAAATGATGACTTTAAACGAGATTGCTGAAATTCTTGTTTCATCAACTTGTTTGTCAATAATTTACCTCGTTTCAGAAATTGTTCATACGTAGAGCATGCTCTTGCGTATCGAATCAACTGAGAGATATGAACCCCGTATGCAGGTGATGAAGGTATATTGCTGCATAAGTAAGGGAAGTTGACGATTGAAAAGTTAAAGTCATCATGTTTATCATATAGCTTGGTTGTTAGATTACCATTAACGTCTTTAAAGTAAAATATCCAAATATGAAATAGATGTGTAAGACTCTGTGCTATCTTTTATCTTAAGCTCACCGGGATATATCGTATCGACATAAGAATGGAAATAACCATTGTTATTTCAGATAAGTGCATATATAAACACAAAAATTATATTAAGAAAAACTTTACTGTGGCGATAATTGGGCACGGCTGTATATCCAGAGACACGAATTACTATTGGTGTCTCTGGCAACACAATGGATGGACCGCCAATCACAATGGGCAGACCCTACAACACAAGCACAACTGACATCATTCAATATTCAAATTAAGGTTCAAAGTTCATAGTTCAAAGGTCAAAGTTCACAAACTTTATCTCACTTGTAGTAAAAGCCTTGACCCTGGGAGGTGCAGAGGTCAAGCACTTATTTATGTATATATTTAAATCAAAAGTTTACTTTTAAGTTTTAAAGAG